TAGTGGCGAAAATCGTCCGATTTTTGGCCGCTAGCGGCGAAAATAGCCCATTTTTTGGCCGCTAGTGGCGAAAATCGGTCGATTTTTGCCCGCTAGCGTCGAAAATAACGCGGTTTTTGGCCGCTAGCGGCAAAAATCGCCTTATTTCGGCCTCTAGCGTCGAAAATCGCCCGATTTTTTGGCTGATAGGGTCAAAAATCGCCTGATTTTTGGCCGCAAGTTGCGAATATCGGTCAATTTTTGGCCCCTAGCGGCGAAAATCACGCGAATTTTGCCCGCTACCGGCGAAAATCGCGCGATTTTCGAAAATCGCACGGTTTTTGGCCGCTAGCAGCGAAAATCGCCCGATTTTTGCCCTCCAGCGGCGAAATTCGCCCGATTTTTGCCCGCTACCGGCAAAAATCGCGCGATTTTCGCTGCAAGCGGCCAAAAACCGTGCGATTTTCGCCGCTAGCGGCCAAAAATCGCGCGATTTTTGCCGGTAGCGGGCAAAAATCGGGCGAATTTCGCCGCTGGAGGGCAAAAATCGGGCGATTTTTGGCCGGTCGCGGCGAAAATCGCGCCATTTTTGCCAGCCATCTGCGAAAATCGCACGGTTTTTGGCCGCTAGCGGCGAAAATCGCACGATTTTTGGCCGCTAGCGGCGAAATTCAGACGATTTTTGGCCGCTAGCGGCAAAAATCGCGCGATTTTTGCCCGCTAACGGCGAAAATCGCTCGGTTTTTGGGCGCTAGCGGCGAAAATCGCGCGATTTTTGCCCGCCAGCTACAAAAATCGCACGGTTTTTGGCCGCTAGCGTCGAAATTCGCACGATTTTTGCCCGCTAGCGGCGAAAATCGCCCGATTTTTGCCCGCTAGTGCCGAAAATAGCCCCTTTTTTGCCGCTAGCGGCGAAAATCGGTTGATTTTCGCTGCTAGCCAAATCGGTCGATTTTTGCCGCTAGCGGCCAAAAACAGCGCGATTTTCGCTGCTAGCGGCCAAAAACCGTGCGATTTTCGCCGCTACCGGCCAAAAATCGCGCGATTTTCGCCGGTAGCGGCCAAAAATCGGGCGAATTTCGCCGCTGGAGGGAAAAAATCGGACGATTTTCGCCGTTAGCGGCAAAAATCGCCCGATTTTTTGCCGCTAGTTGCGAAAATCGCACGGTTTTTGGCCGCTAGCGGCGAAAATCGCCCGATTTTTGGCCGGTAGCGGCGAAAATCGCCCGATTTTTGGCCGCTAGCGGAAAAAATCGACCGACTTTTGCAGCTAGCGTCCAAAAATCAGGCGATTTTCGCCGCTAGCGGCCAAAATCTTGCGAATTTTGCCCCCTATCGGCAAAATTCGCCCGATTTTTGGCCGCTAGCGGCGAAAATCGGCCGATTTTTGGACGGTAGCGGCGAAAATCGCGCAATTTTTGGACGCTAGCGGCGAAAATCGCTCGATTTTAGCCGCTAGCGGCCAAAAATCGTGCGAATATCCCCGCTAGCGACCAAAAATCGTGCGAATTTCGCCGCTAGCGGCCAAAAATCGCGCGATTTTCGCCGCTAGCGGCCAAAACAGGGGCTATTTTCGCCGCTAGTGGCCAAAAATCGGGCGATTTTCGCCGCAAGCGGCCAAAAATCGCGCGATTTTTGCCGGTAGCAGGCAAAAATCGGGCGAATATCGCCGCTGGAGGGCAAAAATCGGGCGAATTTCGCCGCTGGAGGGCAAAAATCGGGCGATTTTGGCCGCTAGCGGCAGAGATCGCCCGATTTTTGGCCGCTAGCGGCGAAAATCGCGCGGTTTTTGGCCGCTAGCGGCGAAAATCGCCCGATTTTTGGCCGGTAGCGGCGAAAATCGCGCGATTTTTGCTCGCCAGCTGCGAAAATCGCATGCATGAAATATATATAAATATATATATATTTATATATATATATATATATATATATATATATATATATATATATATATATATATATATATATATATATATATATATATATATATATATATATATATATATATATATATATATATATATATATTGTATGCTGTGATCGAGGGCTCCGGTCAGGTTCTCAAACTGCTTAAGTTATTCATAGCTATATTTTCCTCTGATCATGATGTACCAATTGTTCTACAATCAGGACATCAATTACTGACGAGTGCACGTGGCGGGGGGGGGGGGGATTGAACGAAGTGAACAATGGCCAATCATCTACCTACCCAAGACTCGAATGCAAGGTTTCACTTACGAGATTAAGGCCATTACATATGCATATTATGCAAACAATCAAGTTTATAAGGAAGATTGTCGATGACGACGATGGTGGCACAAGAAGCAGTGTTCAATCAGGTAGTCACACTGACTAGTGGATCAGTATATCTCCCTTCTAGCTGGTAAACACCCCCCCCCCCTCCCCTTTGTAGCGACTCTTGAGATCAGGCTCCCTTGGGCGTACGGGTACCAATCTGTCCTACAAATAACGGCGCATTTCGATCGTATACATTACATAACGCCAAAATGTTGTTGTTGATTTAGGGGCGACGACGATTGGAGGGTCGGATGCGCCCCGGCGTACCCGTGATGGGTGAATCGCGAAGCCTGGTAGGGTGGAACGCCGAGCCAAACCGCGAAACGAGTGACGCCAATCACTAGAAACTAATATGCCATATGGCAAATAAACGCACAGACGGGCAGATGATTGGGGAGCCCCAGGAGTCCCTCAGGGTGACAAGCACAGCCCCGCTCCACACAGAGAACACCAGGTAGCAAAACCAAAACTCTGCCCCCAACTAAAACGCAAAAAGTCATCCAGTGTCCTCCGGCAGAGCAGAAGCCAGCCGCCCACCACAGCTGAGGGCACACCAGGAACCCACCAAGACCTGCCAGCCCCCGGCACCTCTCGGCCAAGCCGGCCCCCGAACACCGTCACCCCACCGGGACAACCAGCCAGAACACGCCAAAAAAAAAAAAAATCTATCAACAATCCCGTGACCCAAGGTAACGCCAAAATTTTTCGTACTACAAAATGGAAACGGTTCGCGAAAATAACGTACTGTCCCGTTTTCTGTTTTGGGTCCTCTGGTAGATTAGGAGAGGACACTTTAAATTAACCGTTTTCTTGACGTTGGGAAACCTTAGGAGGACGAGCTACACACATACACTAACCAGGCTTAAGGTTGCCCCTCTGTATATAGCCTCCAGTAGAATTATGTTTATAATAAACACGGAAAATGGTCATTGGACATTCTACTACAATCTTCGACAATAACATGAAGTAACACTTAAGAACCAATTCTAGACCCTGCAAACACAGCTAGGTGAGTTTTCCCACACGCCTAGATAAGAAATTATCCAGAACCTCATACACAGTTTAATATATTTTGATGCACAAAAAATGACGGTTGGGAATATCTAGAGATTTTGTCATAAGGCTATATTCAGAAATAAGGGAACTGGGCTACAAGGACAAGTAAAAGGAAAACCCTAACACAAATGGAAAATACGAGCCTGAAGGGACATGCTCACTACTTATAAGATTTTGAGTTATTCACAAATTGGTAAATGAGAATTTGTTTCGCCCGATAGGAAGTCCAATGAGACAACACAAATGTGGGAGCTGAAGAGGTACGAGCATACGAGACGCAAAGAAGAACTCGTATGGGTGAAGATACAAACGACGCGAAGAAGTGTGAAGAAGCCTAGCAGACGAGAGGTTGCAGGCGAACTCCATCACCTGCTTAACCAGATATAACAAAGCAATGGAAGGTCGGGAGCGGTTGCCCAGGCTACCGCTAGGAGGCGGTGTGTCGGTACACACACACCGCAAGCACAAATAGGTAAATACAAATAGGTGAGTACATACATAGGTGAGACCTCACGGCTGAGTGGACAGCGCTCGGGGGTCGTAGTCCTAAGGACCCGGGTTCGATTTCCGGCCTAGCCGGAAAGAAATGTGTAGTTTTTTCACCCTGATGCCCCTTTTCATCTAGCAGTAAATAAGTATCCGGGAGTTAGACAGCTGCTACGAGTAGCTTCCTGGGGATGTGTACGTTTGTTAGAAATATAAGTAGTAGATATAATAGAGGAAAAATAGATTGGTTAAAAAGGCGCGGTCCAAGAGCTAATGGCTCGATTCTGCAGACACAAATAGTAAATACACATACATTATTCAGATCTTCATATCCTAAACATTAATGACAACTACATAATAATTTCACAAAGTGCCATCGATTCTTTTAGAATTGTTATAGTTTCTGGAGAACTTAATCTTTCAAGCATATATAGTGTCCTAAATAATACAAGTAACACTAGCATTATGTGATTGTCTCAATTAATTCTAGCTGCAGGAGAGGTTTTATCTTGCACTTCTGTCAATAGTGACAATTAATCATATTCACTTGTCACATTTTTTTTTACTTGCTTTAGCATACATGTTTTTCTAGTCCTTAATGTAACTTGTTTTTGTCGGAAATGGTGATAAATATTTATATGGTTATCAAAAAATATTATAATTTTATTTATTAGATGATTGATTTTGTATATCTATCATTAGGCTTTGTCAAATTCACTTTCATCTATATATAAACACACTGGCAACTCCATTAGGTTTAAAGGGAGTTTACAAAGATTTAAACGTCGCCTGGGTAACGTAGAAGAATATAAAATTGTTGCTGGGTACTGTATGATGGGCTGCTCTACCATCATACGTCTTCTCTCCTCTTCCTCTGAGTCTTAGCATGACTTTACAGGTTTTCATAAACTACCCAGCAGCTGATAGACCACTGCTTTGTGACGTCACCTAAACATACCACCTAGGGGAATATTGTTGATATTTATCTACAAAACGGCTTATCGCACTTTTATGTTACATACCTCAGAAAGAGCTGTATATATTTGTTAAGTGTCAGGTGAATGTTCAGATAGTATGCCACTGTGGTACGCCCAAAATTATTGTGGTAAATAGTAAATAAGTTGAGGTTGGTGGCGCGCGACAATTTTTCCCGGCAACACAGCGTGGCCACAAGGTGGAAGGTCGGGCAGCGACAGTCGTGTGTTGGAGCGTGTGAGTGGAGGGTGTGTCGCCAATCCCTCCCTGTGTGACTCTCCTCCTCTCAGTAGGGGGCATGAAAAATTGTTACAATTCTTAAGTGGATGTATGATTTAAAACTGTATTTCGTTAGGACTATGGTGTTGTTGTGACTGGTTGCTTGTGTGTATATGACTATTTATTAAGGTTTAACCAAGCTATGAATGCTGGAGAAGTGGTGTTGTCGTGCGGTGGGTTGGGCAGTGTGATGATGAAGACGAGCAAGGTGGTGACCAAGGTGGGTCACAGCGGGTGGTCAACAGGTCACCACGACCCTTGGATCCAACCAGCTGCCATACCAACCACGACCAGCCTAGTAGGACCCAAAGAGCCTCCGACCAACACTTCCATGGACTCTGGGGTGGCGGGTCTGAGGGACACGCCAGTCCATACCCCAGCGCCCATCCACAACAACAACAATACGAACAATAACAACAACAACATGGTGGGGAACAAAGGCAATAACAACAATAACGAGGACTATGACGTGCCCAAGTTCATCGTGGACCACACGACGCGCGCCACCTATATGAAGGGCCGTTTTCTGGGCAAGGTAAGTTCACTGCCCCGCGATCATCCTACCTTCACACCACGCCTCTCCCTGGCCCCCTCTCTCTCTCTCTCCCTCCCTTCCTTGTCCCTCCTCTCCCCTTCTCTCTCCCTTCCTCACCCCATCTCTCCCCTCCTCCACACTCGTCGTTAAATGGCTCAGGTGTAACACATGACTCTGGGTGTTTGTGTTTCAGTCGAGGGGCGTCTGGGTACACACGCGATGGTCCCTCGCGCCCCGGGGACCTGTTGGCGGTGGTGGGCCTCTCTTGTTCTTGTCCTTGTTTAGGGGAGTGGTTCTTGTCCTTGTTTAGGGGGGTGGTTTTTGTCCTTATTTAGGGGATTCTTGTCCTTGTTTGGGAGAGTGGTGGGGTTCTTGCCCTTGTTTGGGAGAGTGGTGGGGTTCTTGCCCTTGTTTGGGAGAGTGGTGGGGTTCTTGCCCTTGTTTGGGAGAGTGGTGGGGTTCTTGCCCTTGTTTGGGAGAGTGGTGGGGTTCTTGCCCTTGTTTGGGAGAGTGGTGGGGTTCTTGCCCTTGTTTGGGAGAGTGGTGGGGTTCTTGCCCTTGTTTGGGAGAGTGGTGGGGTTCTTGCCCTTGTTTGGGAGAGTGGTGGGGTTCTTGCCCTTGTTTGGGAGAGTGGTGGGGTTCTTGCCCTTGTTTGGGAGAGTGGTGGGGTTCTTGCCCTTGTTTGGGAGAGTGGTGGGGTTCTTGCCCTTGTTTGGGAGAGTGGTGGGGTTCTTGCCCTTGTTTGGGAGAGTGGTGGGGTTCTTGCCCTTGTTTGGGAGAGTGGTGGGGTTCTTGCCCTTGTTTGGGAGAGTGGTGGGGTTCTTGCCCTTGTTTGGGAGAGTGGTGGGGTTCTTGCCCTTGTTTGGGAGAGTGGTGGGGTTCTTGCCCTTGTTTGGGAGAGTGGTGGGGTTCTTGCCCTTGTTTGGGAGAGTGGTGGGGTTCTTGCCCTTGTTTGGGAGAGTGGTGGGGTTCTTGCCCTTGTTTGGGAGAGTGGTGGGGTTCTTGCCCTTGTTTGGGAGAGTGGTGGGGTTCTTGCCCTTGTTTGGGAGAGTGGTGGGGTTCTTGCCCTTGTTTGGGAGAGTGGTGGGGTTCTTGCCCTTGTTTGGGAGAGTGGTGGGGTTCTTGCCCTTGTTTGGGAGAGTGGTGGGGTTCTTGCCCTTGTTTGGGAGAGTGGTGGGGTTCTTGCCCTTGTTTGGGAGAGTGGGGGTTCTTGCCCTGGGGAGTGGTGGGGTTCTTGCCCTTGTTTGGGAGAGTGGTGGGGTTCTTGCCCTTGTTTGGGAGAGTGGTGGGGTTCTTGCCCTTGTTTGGGAGAGTGGTGGGGTTCTTGTCCTTGTCTGGTTGAATGGTCGGGGTTCTTGTCCTTGTCTGGTTGAATGGTCGGGGTTCTTGTCTTTGTTTTGGGGCTATTGGTGGGGTTCTTGAACTTGTTTGGGGGGCGAGTGGTGGGGGTTCTTGGCCTTGTTTGGGGGGGGGCGAGTGGTGGGGGTTCTTGGCCTTGTTTGGGGGGGGGCGAGTGGTGGGGGTTCTTGGCCTTGTTTGGGGGGGGGCGAGTGGTGGGGGTTCTTGGCCTTGTTTGGGGGGGGGGCGAGTGGTGGGGGTTCTTGGCCTTGTTTGGGGGGGGGGGCGAGTGGTGGGGGTTCTTGGCCTTGTTTGGGGGGGGGGGGCGAGTGGTGGGGGTTCTTGGCCTTGTCTCTGTTTGATGTTGGGGGGTCGTAATCTATCTGGTGTTGAGAAGGTGGATGTCGTAGTCTTTGTTTGGTATTGAGAAAGGGGGGGGGGGTGTGAGTACCCCCCAGTCTTTGTTTGGTGTCGGGAATGGGGGGGGGGGGGGTCCCAGTCCTTGTTTGGTGTCGGGTGCTAGGGAGAGGGGTCCCAGTCCTTGTTTGGTGTCGGGTACTAGGGAGAGGGGTCCCAGTTCTTGTTTGGTGTTGGGTGCTAGGGAGGGAGGATCCCAGTCCTTGTTTGGTGTCGGAAGATCCTCCCTTTGTTCTCATGTTCTAAGTCGGATTGCGAAAGGGATCTGGAAGTTATGATTAGTAAGAATTTAAAACCAAAAGATCAATGCATGAATGTTCGTAATAAGGCAAATAGGACACTGGGATTTATTAATCGAATCTTTTAGTAACAAGACACCTGGTGGTGTTCTTCAGCTATATCTTACTCTGGTTAGGCCCCAGTTAGATTATGCAGTTCAGTTTTGGTCGCCGTACTATAGAATGGATATGAATTCACTTGAACGTGTCCAGTGAATGACTAAGTTAATTCCCCAAATCAGAAATCTTTAATATGAAGAATGATTAACAAAGCTTAAATTGCATTCTCTGGAAATGCGAAGTTAGGGGTGACATGATAGAGGTTTACAAGTGGATGAATGGTCATAACAAATGGGATATTAACAGGGTATTAAAAGCATCAAAACAAGACAGAACACGAAACAATGGGTATAAATTGGATAAGTTTAGATTTAGGAAAGACTTGGGTAAATACTGGTTCGGTAAAAGGGTTGTTGATTTGTGGAACCAATTACCGCGTTACGTGGTTTGTTGTTGTTAAAGATTCGCTACTTGGAACAAACAGTTCCCAAGTAACACGGGCTATGGTGAGCCCGTAGATAGTTATTACGTGGTGGCGGTGGGGTCCCTCGATTGTTTCAAGAGTGGGTTGGACAAGTGGGATTGTGTGGTTAGGAGCTACCTCATATGGGCCAATAGGCCTTCTGCAGTTACCTTGTTCTTATCCTTGTTTGGTGTCGGGAGGGAGGTCCCAGTCCTTGGTTGGTTTCGGGAGGGAGGTCCCAGTCCTTGGTTGGTGTCGGGAGGGAGGTCCCAGTCCTTGGTTGGTGTCGGGAGGGAGGTCCCAGTCCTTGGTTGGTGTCGGGAGGGAGGTCCCAGTCCTTGGTTGGTGTCGGGAGGGAGGTCCCAGTCCTTGGTTGGTGTCGGGAGGGAGGTCCCAGTCCTTGGTTGGTGTCGGGAGGGAGGTCCCAGTCCTTGGTTGGTGTCGGGAGGGAGGTCCCAGTCCTTGGTTGGTGTCGGGAGGGAGGTCCCAGTCCTTGGTTGGTGTCGGGAGGGAGGTCCCAGTCCTTTCTGGCTAAACGGACTATGCTTTGGGTTGGGCGGCGACCCCTGTGTGTTCTTTTTGTGAAGATATTTAGCTGTTGTCGCCTACGGTGGCTATTTTATTATGCACCCCCATTCTTATCCTGTGGTGGCTCAAGTCTGCGGCAGCATTTATGGATACTGTCGTGTTCACCAGCAGGGTTTGTATTTTTATACCATGTTAAAGGTAGTACTTGTACTTAAGCCCCTGATATTACGTTGAAGTAGTGTCCCTATTGTTCTCGTTGTTAAATATATTTATGCTGGCGTTGAGATATTGGGTCCCGTGTCTACCATCTCCGTCGATGGTAGTCTTAGCAATGTAGATTCCAGTCCCAATAATTTTTGTGATGAATAAGGTGTCTTGTACATTAGTTATTTCGTATGTGCACTTAAATTTGTACTTGAAGCTGGAGCTCCAGCTCTTTGGTGTGCACGTAGGCTGTGTGTGTTCATGGTGTCTCCCTATACTTTCATGCTTTTCGGCGTTTATTCCCCGACCGTCCTTAGTGGTTGGGGACCATTCCTTCCCCCCCCCCCAGCCCATCCCAAATCCTCATCCCCTTCCTAGTACTATATAGTCGTAATGCTTAGCGCTTTCTCCTGGTGGTTTCTCTTCCTATACCTTGTAGAGTATGGCAGCGACATTCCTTATATTGCAGTGGACCCATTCCATCCCATCCTCCTGACCACATCGAGACAGAGCCAGGTCGAGTTTTCAGAAACTCGACTCAGGGTTCCTCACTTCAGGATCCTTGGGTTTCATCGTCACTGGTCTGGTATGGGAATATGTTACCCCTCCTGACCCTTGGAAAGTCAGACCCCTGACATGCCTGTACGCCTCATGCATACTGTTTAGACACGACCTATTGTAACGTCGTCAATAGTCACGAATTCGTACATAATTAGCTTTTAGATATACTAGGTTATTTTTTTTTAATAAAGCTAAAAATCAAACTTAAATATTCCTAGGTCTAGTATAGCACACACATGTACTATATAAAGCCTTCGACGTCGTGTATCAGGCCTAAGAAGGTTAGGTTAGTTTAGTTTGTCAGAGCAACACAATTAAAAAATAGTTTTCCGGTTTGTCCAACTCAAAAGTTCAGATTTCCACTTTCTAATTTCGTTGTACGTCGGTGTATATACAGGTATATACTATGGTTCTCATCGTTATTATAAGTATTAACAAAACAGGAGGATGGGCTGGTATCAGGTATTGCTAGCTCGGCCATACATTTTTCCCACGGTTATTATAGTTGGTCAGTGAATAATTTACAATATTTAATGTTCATTACATACAACAGTGTTGTTACATGTCTGTGTTGTTTATATATATTTAATACCACGTGTATCAATCTACGAACAATTAGTTTTGTTGGCGGGGGGACGAGTTCTAGCCACGTTCTTGCAAAAGGAAAGCACTCAAAAACTTAACCATAATTACTGAAACATATTAAAATGATGGAAAGCGAAAGTTTAGTTAGTAGTTTCGTGACTTTGTTGGCCATAACGTGCGTAAAAGAAGGCCCCCCCCCCCCACCAGTCCTCCGGAAACTAAAGTACTGTATATATCGTATATCAGGAACGTCTTTGCCACTTCAGCTCTATACATGTATTTAAAGCGCCCATGAACCTAAATTGTAACTGTATTCTGTAATCGGTATTAAAATCGCTGCATTAGGCTAATCCCAATGTTTGCAGTTTGGAGGAGGCGGCGTCATGGTCTGCATGTTAATTCTTCTCTCCCCTTCTAACTTTGCTATTTTATTGTCTCTAGATTTCATTCCCCCCTTTAGACCGAGTCAAGTGAACGGAAATATTTTCACATTTTTCGAGGGTTCGGTGAATGTTATTACATGGCCACGCAGGCGCCAAATTGATTTAAATGTTCCAAGACATGAC